TTGTATGGATTATTTATGTAAACACCAAACCCCGCAGAATTGGAGGTTATGAGAACAGGTTGACATGTCGAAAGTACATTGCGCAGTCAACGAATCTTGTTGAATTTACCGTTTATCCTTGTTTATCTTATTGTCACTCTGCATAATTCTATGGTTACCGGAGTTTCAAATAATTACGAAGCAACAGGTATTTTCGCAATGTTAATTAGGCATATTACCTTGAAAAACATTGCTGCCGTATTTCTGATATAATTTTTTGGAAATTTCTCAGTTTTTAATAACAATTAATTTCTTACAACACCTCAACAGCGCCAGACAACACCTCCAGAGGAATGACGCCAATTTTGAATCACCCTGTAAGTCTAAGTCTAAGTCTCTGTCTAAGTTTTTAGAAGCGATAACTTTTTTGGATAAGTTGAGTATTTGTTGAGTCGAAGTTCAAACCAATGTTGCATTTTTTTAATTAAATGCTTTGCATATTATTCCAGTCTTAGTTTTTACTCGAAAAATTAGTTCTTTACAGGTTTATCTTGCTTAAAGCCATCCGCGTTGAATTTTTCATAAACTTAAGCAACTCTGGAATCGTCACGCAGATGAAAAATGAAAACCAGAACTATTCTGATCAAGACTGAATGCTCCCAAGCGTGCAGATTTCGTTCGCCCAAATTGAACTAGTTAATTAATTTTTGCTGAAAATCTCGCCTTATCAATTAGGCACAAAGCGCGCATATTCATTGAAAAAATAAAACGTTATTCGGTTACCTAACCCAAATCAATCGAAAATATGCAGCGATGCGGGCCACAATACCGTAACATATTAAATAAAACATTTTAACTCAGTCGAAATTTGAGCAAAGGCCCACATCGGCGTCTTATCTCCGATTTGTTCCATTTGGAGATAAGACGCCATTTAATTAGATGGAATGGAGAATGTAGACCGTGTTATGCAGATGCGTGATCCGTTATGCAGTTATGGGATACTAATGATGGGGCCATTGTTTGTAAATTAGTTTGGCTACGAGCATATTGTGCCATTTATTAAACATTGTTTCCTATACGAAACGTCATTTGTTATGCCTAGCAATTGCTTTACGATAGTCTTATGGCCTCTATCTAGTAGGCGTTCCAAGAATGTATCATTCTAAAGTATGATGCAAAGATGCAACTACAATGTTTCTCAATCGAAATCGTCTTTTTCTTGTGAATGTCGTCGCTTATGCCTGGGACACTCTATATATGCCCGATGGATATGAATTGAATCAAAGCTCAAGAGTGTTCACTTCTGCAGATCGTGAGCAATTCATTATGTTGTAGTTTAAATTTATTGGCTCTGTCTGCTTAATCTTCGGATCGGGGGTACCAAGTCGAGATCGCCTACATAAATAACGCAAAACAGAGGCGGAGCGTATGCGCTCCGCCTCAAGCAATTTGGTCGATGTGAAGATTTGCACAAAATTTATTTTCTATGACTAACGTTGACTATATCGGAATCATTCCTTTAACCAGTGCAATTTAAAACCCATTAAAAGCTACCGTCGATTCTCATTAATGGAAAATATTGGAAAAATTAGCACTAATATGCATAAGCGCCATTTTGTCGGGCCCAGTGCTTAAATGAGCCAACGGTGCATGTTTCTTTAATTACTCCTGCCATTTAAAAATGTATAATAAACAAATGTTATTAGAAGAGAAAGTTTGCAGACCCGACAGGTAAATTTATAACGACGCTGACCTCAAATTCAAGCATCACATGTTATTTATATGTCGCTTTTTTTATTGCCACTTTGTTAGTCGATTTTTGTTATTGTTTAAGCAATCGAAGAAGTTCTCACTGGGTCGCATGTTTTCACTTTCATTAACATCAACCGGTCATCTTCCAGTCGAATAGATTTTTTCCTAACAAAATTTCAGAGCTTTGCTGTTATTTCATCGATTTGAGGGATTATTTTTCTAGAAAACAACGTTTTTGAAAATTTTCTTGGTTTGTCCGTATCAAAAATCCATCTTCAGCAACAAAAATACGCTCAATCCGTCATTCAAGTGACCGCTAGTAAATAGGGTGGTTCTTTGCCCTTTTTGCATTCAATAAGCTTTAATAGATGTTTTCGATACAAGAGCGCACAGTGTTGTCTTTCGAACGACGACAACGTTTGACACCCGAGACAATTTGATGTCAGTGTCATTTTTCAAATGTCAAGTTTTGACGTTTGTAATTTTTCAAAGTGAAACCGTCAGTGTGAAAACGCAATGTCCTGTGCGCCACCAGCAGCTAGAGTTGCCGCAAATGTTCGTTTCAACTTCCAGCAAACGCAGAAAAATAGGCCATTAAAACGACTTTCTGACTGAACTTGTAGCAAAGTTATAATTTCCAAATTGTAAGTAGACTTTAAATGTTGATCAATAGTGGTCAATGAACCTACGTAATTCATTAACAAACCATGTTGGTTACTTTTCAATGGAAATACCTACTATATAAAATGTAATGACAGTGACTTTTGTCACTTTACTTTTGCGCACACTGTGCTTAAAAGTTCGGGCGTAAAAATGAATACCCACTAAGGAAAAGTGCTCCTTCATGATCATAAAATGGCAGTTTTTGATTCATTCGAGTAAAAAGTTACTTCAGATTAATTGTTAGTTGAATTTTCGTGCAATAATTTCTATATAAAAGTTGTTGTTAGTACTAGTTGACTAAGGAAGGACTGGAGGAGTGGCAAAATATTGAAGTTTCACTTTTCAATTCTTGCACTTCTTCGATTTGAGAAGGTTCTAGAAAAACCCGCCTTCAGGTCCTTCAATGACTCCTTATGGAAAAACATCCTGATTGGATGCTGGGTGCCGAATCGATGATGAGCGGCACGGCACTGGTGTATGACGCGCCTCGCAAGATCAGTGGAAGTACCCGTAAATACGAACTGGGTACCGTTAGTCGTGAATCGACGTCGCCCCCTTCTTAGTACTTGGTACTGCTGACCCACATCGGCGGGCAGACGGAGGATCTCCCGTTGCTGATTTGCCAAATGTCGCAGAAACAAACTCTCCAAGTCGCTGAGGAAAATTAGAAAGTGGTTTCGTGCGCCGATTAGACGAAGACGACTATGCACTTGATGCCTCGTCCTCTAGCTGCTCATTTGTCATAAAAGTTTTGGTTTTATTCGATTGAATCAAAAACTGCCATCATCTGATTAGAACCGCTGATGATAAAAGAAACACTTTTCTTTAGTACTCATTTGTTTTACTTTACTGACGTATAGTGAGCGCAAAGTAAATGTGACATATTGAACTTGTCACTGTCATTATACTTTGATAGTAATTTCATTCAAAAGTAACTGATATGCTTTTTTAATTAATTATGTAGGTTTATCGGCAACTATTGATCATAATTTAAAGTTTACTTGCAATTTGTAAATTATAAGTAGTTTTAGCCTATTTTTGCGCTTGTCGATGTTGCCACACAAATATTTTTATATGGCGCAAATGTCATGCAAAATATGCAACTTATACAAACACCATAAA